AATAAACATAGGGGTGCATCTGTCTTTTTCAAACTGGGCTGCTGCATTCTTAGGGTAAATTCCTAGAAGTGGAATTCCTGGGTCAAATGGTATTTCTATTTTGAGCTTTTTGAGGAACCTCCATACCGCTTTCCACAATGGTTGAACTAATTTACATTCCCACCAGCAGTGTAGGAGGGTTCCCCTTTCTCCACAACCTCACCAACATGTGTTGTTATTTGTCTTTTGGATGGTGGCGATCCTTACTAGTGTGAGGTGAAATCTCATTGTGGTTTTAATTTGCATTTCTCTGATGACAAGTGATGTGGAACATCTTTTCATATTTCTTCTTTGGAGAAGTGTCTGTTCAGCTCCTCTACCCATTTTTTAATTGTATTATTTGCTTTTTGTTGAGGTGTGTAAGCTCTTTATATATTTTATATGTCAACACTTTATTGGATCTGTCATTTATGAATATATTCTCCCATACTGTAGGATACCTTTTTGTTCTATTGATGGTGTCCTTTGCTGTACAGAAACTTTTCAGCTTGATATAGTTCTACTTGTTCATTTTTGCTTTTGTTTCCCTTGTCCGGGGAGATATATTCATGAAGAAGTCACTCATGTTTGTGTCCAAGAGATTTTTGCCTATGTTTGTTTCTAAGAGTTTTATGTTTTCATGACTTACATTCAGGTCTTTGATCCATTTCGAATTGACTTTTGTGTATGGGGTTAGACAGTGATCCAGTTTCATTCTCTTACATGTAGCTGTCCAGTTTTGCCAGCACCATCTGTTGAAGAGTTGCCACAGTATTTTTAAGCTCAGTCACTCTGAATGAGCAAAAGTTAATCCAAATAGATTCTACCCTAAACATCTGGATAGGTTTTTTTTCTTATGCAAATATGAAGTTAAAAATGGAGGAATTTGGTCTGGGCTTTAACTATGAGTTATTTTTATTATCAAACGTCATTCACTTTAACAGTTTGTATTCTTTAGGAAATAGATCTTCAGAAGTCAGTATCAAAGTAGACTTAGTTTTCATCACATAGCATCCTTTCTGGACTGGCCTACTCCATGGCCTCCCATGGAGGCATCACTCTGAGCACATTAATAGGGCCTGGTTAACAGGTTCCTGTCAGTCCACTTCCCTTCATTCCTGCTGTTACTCACTGCCACCACATGCTTCTCTCATAGTTTGCCCAGTTCAGAAGCTTTCACAAAAATATCATATATTTTTTAGCATATAGGATAAAATCCAAATCCCTCAGGCCGTCATTCAGTCCTCTCCACTTAGGCCTCAAATGGTCTTCACACCCTTACCTGTTACTGAACATTTCAGGAGGCCTGCTTCTGCCTCTGTGCCTTTGTTCACATCTGTTCCCTTCTGATGCCCTTATGGCCCTTCATGTTTATATAGTGTTCTTTTATTGGCAGTGTTTATATTTATGTTTTAATTTTTATGACCATCGTGTAGTGTCCCTCTTTGAGCTCTCAGATTGGATAGGTACAAGAACAGAGGACCTTTTAGGAAGAAGCAAACAGGTGGGAGTAATGATATCTATCATTTAATAAGGGCTTAACTAGATGCATGGCACTGTGCTGACACTTCCCATCATTCCTTGTTTGCTCTTCACAGACCTATGAGACAGATACTGTCTCTATCCCACTTTACAGATGTGGAGTTGGAGGCCTGTGGGGAGGTTAAACTGCTCCCCTGTTGTTAGACAACAAGTAAATGATAGACCTCCAGTCCATCAAGCCCATGCCCTGCCCCAGTGTGCTCTGTCCCAGGACAGAGGAGGAGGCAGTAGAAGCAGAAGGGGGTATGGGCAGGAGAGATCCTCATTCCATGCTAGTTTTCCATGGTGATTCCTTAAGGCTCTGAGGTTTAATGGAAAGAACACTGACCTGAAAGAAGTTCCAGTCCTGTCTTTTTGCTCAACTTGTGCTTTTTTAAATAAATCACTTCATCTCTGAGTTTGTTGGGTAGGGTTGTCCCTCCAAGCTATTGTTTGATGATGCTAATAAAGTAGAAAATCAGGTATTAGTGTCTTTATTTCCCAAGTCCTTTGAGCTGTGGTCACTTGCTGTGTCCTCTTTCTTCTTCCAGTCCACCCCAAGCAGACAGGTTGCTTATCCTTTCCCAGTTCACAGAAGTCTTGCTCCTTCCTGCTGTTTAGGCCATCTTGGCATTGGACTTACACCTTAGATAGCAGTGCTGGTAGGTTTTATGTGGCCGTGTCATATGCCCCCACTAGATGTAAGTCCTTCCAGAACAGGGATGGTGACTTGTACTTTTTATTCCTTATAGTATTTAATACATGGCTGATCCTGAAAATCGCTCTTTTGAGTTGCTGAATTTTGTTGTGATCCTTTTTCTCTGTGAGATCTTGGGTCATTGTGACTGTTCTTTCCTTGTGGCATAGGCCAAAGTATCTGTCTCATGCCTATTCTGTCACAATCACTGCTAAAAATTTTTATTTGGTTTTCTTTCTGCTAAGAAAAAATTAGGACTGATTTTGCACTTATTTTATCATGCATGAATTGTACAATGAAGACTTAAATAAGAGAAACTCTGTTTGTTAGAAAACATAAAACATGTTTATTTTGCCCAGCATTGTTCAAAAGAGAGTGAAAGACATACAAGAACTTTGTAGATTTCTCCAAACATTTAAAATCTGTTTTGAGGAAGAAGCTAATAACTCATTCAATCCTGAGGATTATGTAATAAATGAGAATTATGTAATAAATAAATCCTGAGGATTATGTGAGGATAATGTAATAAATCATGTGATAATGAATAAAATTGTTATTGAAGTTTAGAGGCAGCAAGCAGATCATTGTGGAATAAGAAGTGTTTTCCAAAGTATGTTCCCTGGAACACTGATCCTACAAGATATTCCTTAAATGGTCATAGGTGAGAATGCTGTTGGATTCTGTTCTTAGAGATTTGAAGTGTATAGTAACGTATTAAAGGATTTGAAAGTCTTTCAGTATAAAAAACTGCTGAAAATTTATTTAACTCCTATTTCATGTAACTCTTACCAACAGCCTGCAATGACTGCTTTGCATGTTTTGGCAGCTGAAAAGCTGCTTAAGTTTGGGTGGTTTCTCTATGGACTTTTCTTGGAGGAGAGGAGACTTGAGCTGGGTCTTAATACAGAAGGGAAGGAGATTGTATTCCAAGCGGAGGGGACAACATGATCTGTGATGCAAAGTGCGAACAAACTTGGCTGGTTGAAGGCTACCAGAGGGTAGGAGGAGGGAGCTCAGCAGGGTGAGAAGATAGGGCTAGGTCACAGGGGGCTATGAATGCTGGGCTGAGGAGTTTGAATTCTTCATGGCAGGAAAACTGAGCCTCAGTGGATTCTGTATAGTGGAAGGATGTGACAGAAGAGCTGTTTCAGAAAGGTTAATCTGTGCGGACTGACAGGAGGAGAGCAGGCCAGAGCTGGTTGGGAGGCTGGTTACTTTGAAGGCCTACTGTGGATGGTGAAGTATTACTGTTGTTAACCTTCTCTCAAGCAGTATTCTCCTAACACTGCTTCCTCTTGTATTCTTTCTTCAGGAAGCACTGAGTGTTGCCAAGACACAGGTGGAAATGGGAGCCCAGGTGTTGGATATCAACATGGATGATGGCATGCTGGATGGTTCAAGTGCAATGACCAGATTTTGCAACTTCATTGCTTCTGAGCCTGACATTGCCAAGGTTGTACAGAATTTTTATTCATCAAGGGTATTTACACGTCTCACTCTGTCACTCATTTAACTTTGTTGTCCTATGGATTTGCTGTCTGATATGCTAGCTATTTTCCTACTTTGAAATACTACTTTGAAAACCAGAAATTTCTGATTGTCAGTTTTCTTGCTTAATGGTAACCTTTTTATATAAACCAGACTTCAGAGAGAGATGTGACTTCAGCTTGGCTGTTTCCAAGATTTCTGGAACTAGTCACAAGAACTCATAGAGTTTCTTTCCTCTGATGTCTAGATTGACTAAGAACCCACTTCTTATGTCTCTAAAGAATATACTCACCGTACCTACTAATCGTTATTTCCATTCCTGTAATAGACAGGAAAACTCAGTTAATTCTTCCTTATTGCAGGAAGAAGAGACTTTTTTAGGATTATCAGAATAGACAAAATTGTAAAATGAGCTTTAATCAAGGTATTATGTCAGCTTTTACATTTATTCTTTAAAAGATGAAAGTTAATTTTTGTTTTAATCTTTTTAAAAATTTCACTTCATTTCTCTACCATTGAATTTGTGATGAGGAGTGATTTTAAGTTCTTTTTTTAAAGACTGTCAGTTTTTCATTAGGCTTCAGTAAATGCCTAAGTTGGAAGTCTTATAAGCAGTGAATTACATTAACCCTCCTTCATTTGTGTCTTAAAACTCCTTACTAAAATACCTCATAACGGAAGGTGACTGGTTAGCCAGAGACGGTAAGATTCCTCAAGGGAGGAACAACCTCAGACAGGCACAGTCGCAGGGGGACCATCAGGTGAGAAATTGGGAATCAACAGAGGTGAGGCTTAGAACCTCACCCCCCGTGTTTTGAGAGAAATATTCTGCATCCGTGGATGTTTTGTTGCCCTTGTCTAGCTTGGATTAATACTTAGTCTATAGGCACACACCTGATCATCTACATTTGCCCTCTTATAGCACTAAACTATGTTTTCTACCTTTATCTTGCATCTACCTACCACTTCCGCATTTTATTAAAAAAAAATAATAAGGGAGAAATGTGGGATTCACATATAAATCAAGTATAGAAATCAAACGAATAATCATAATTGACCTGATTGTTTATAGTTCATGATGTGTGATCAAAACCGAAAGTTTCTGTGATATGACTGCCTTTGCACTGTTCACCATGTAAAAACTTGTTCATTAAGCTTCAGAAGATTGGAGACTGTTGAGAATTAGGTTTGGGGTTGATTAATGATTGTGCATTGAGTCCCCTGTACAGAATTTTATTGTTGTTACAACCATATGATCAATAAATATGAGAGATGCCCTCTCAAAAAAAAAAATATATATATATATAGTTGTCTAATCACTATCTTGTACATCTGAAATGAATATAATACTGTAAATCAGCTGTACAACACAGAGAAGACAAGTAGTGATTATACAACATTTTGCTATGCTGATGGACAGTGACTGTAAGGGGGTTTGTGGGGGGGACCTGGTATAGGGGAGAGCCTAGTAAACATAATGTTCTTCATGTAATTGTAGATTAATGATAACAAAAAAAAAGAAAGAAAGAAAAGGGGGATTACTCCCTGATAGGATAAAACTAACTGCAAATCACCGATTAATGCATGCTTTAAATATCCTTAATTTTGATCATTTAAAGGGTGTCAGATGATCAGCTATGGCAGTACGTTTTTCTGATAATATTCCTTTCTCTTAAAAAAAAAATAAATAAAAATAAAATAAAATACCTCATCACTCCTCTGGGTGTAAATATTTTGAGAATTTAAGGTGCTGAGAAGCCCGATGACTGTGCAAAGCCAGTCAGAATCAGTGGGGAGCAGTTTATTGGCTGAGTACTGGAAAGAAGACTGTGCGGGGAGCTGGAGGACTCTCCTTACTGTCCCAGATAAGTGGATTAGCTACTGGCCTGTTTCCTAACTCATCTCGGAAGTAGGAATAATCATACCTGCTTTGTCTGACTCGTGAATTCTAAAGATGAAAGTGCCTTGTTAACTGTGAAGGACCCCATGTAGCTTAAGACATTTTTAATTAGTGTTCTGATTGCTATACTAATTTTTTCCTATTTTTCCTGGTTTTGGCCTATAACCAAAATTTATTTAGATCAAATCTTAACCAGTTGCAGTACAGCGTAAAATGTATGCCCAGCATATTTTTGCTAGCAGAGCTGGGGACACCAAGCTGGCAGCAAGCGCTGTAAAGCATTGACCAGGTATTGTTATTGCATCTGACCCTTCTGCTAGCCGACCTTTCATTACTAGCATGCTGACAAAGAGCAAAATGGATGGACTCCTTGAGCTATTTTGCTTTCCTTTGGAGGTGTGGCTTACGGAAGAGTTGACTAGCTGGGAAACCTTTCCCGAGTTGACTAGCTGGGAAACCTTTCCCTGAATTCTCCCTCTGCACTTTCTCTGTGTCATAGATGGGGTTGGGTGCCTCTGGAATATGCTTTCCTGGCACTCTGAGCTTCTGTTGTGCTCTAGCATTTCCCACACTTTATGCCATTACTCGTTTAATCATTTACCTTTGTAAGTTTGGTGAAGCCAGGGATTTCCCTACCTTACCATTGATCCCAAATCTGCCATGGGGGCTGATGTCGTCACTTGATTATTTATTGAATGAATTAAATAACGGGGCTTAGATCAGCTGCCCTGTTCCATTTCTTTGCATGAATCTAGTCCTTCCTCGAAGCCCTTATTTTTGCCTCTTCTGGAGCAGAGGCACGAATGTATGGACACTGTTAAAAATAAAGCTGTTCTCATCTGTGTAGCCCAATATTGTCTGTCATTTTATTTATATGCATTTGTTGTATTTACATCTACTTTTCCAGTCTAAGTAAAACCATATTTTCTTCCATTCAGGAACTTGATTTTCTAAAGGGAAGACCGAATTTGAATTACTTGACTGGAGGTCTGTTCTGAAGGATGTGAAGCTAAACATTAATTCCAGAGTCAGATTAGGGATATCTGAATCCTGTTAGGGGTGTTTGCCTCATGGTGTAGGCACTTGAAAGCATGAACTAGTACTGAAGCCAGCAAACTGACCATTTTGTGTTTAGCTGTGGTCTTTGAGTTATGATTTCTGGCCCAGGCATGGGGTCTCTCATAAGACCAGAATTACTCTAAGTATTTTGGGCTTTAAGAACAAGTACATTAAAGTCCTATTTCTGTCACACACTACTGTTATTGTTTGCTGCTTCCCTACAGAAGAAATAGGGAGTCTATCAGCCCTTGAAAGGGAATTTATGCTGACTTGACTTTCTGATTTTCTTGTCCTTCTGATTCCAGGTGCCCTTATGCATTGACTCTTCCAACTTTGCTGTGATTGAAGCCGGGTTGAAGTGCTGCCAAGGGAAGTGCATCGTCAATAGCATTAGCCTGAAGGAGGGAGAGGATGACTTCCTGGAGAAGACCCGGAAGATTAAGAAGTTTGGAGCTGCTGTGGTGGTCATGGCTTTTGATGAAGAAGGACAGGTGAGTGATTTCTTTTGACTGAATTCCATTGTGTTACACGGGATAGACAGAGTAGTGGCAGAGAACTGAGTCCAACACACACATGCACACACATATGTACACATACTGCATATGAAAATTGGCTGTATAATAAGGTCTTTAAGTCAAGGAGAAAGGAATTATTCAATTAATGCTGTTGGAACAACTGTCTATGCATTTAGAGGAAAATAAAGCTAGAGCCCTGTTTCCTAATATATACTAAAATAAAATCTACATCAATTAAAGATCTAAATGTAAAAAACAAATTCTAAAGAATGTATGAGAATACTCATCTAAACTTGAGAAGTCAGAAAGAAAAGGGATAGACCCATGTATGTAAAGATGTAACACTTTGTATGGTGAAAGACATGATGCTGTTTACGATGTGAGTAATAGCAGTAGGATAATAACCCTAACGCGCAAAGAGTTTCTATAAATCAGAAAGTTAAATACCCCAGCTAACTCAATAGAATAGTGAACAAAGGTAAGGAATAAGCACTTTTATAAAAAAAGAAATACAAATAACAAATAAATCTGTGAGAAGAGACTACATTTTGTAATATTTAAAGAAATAAAACATGAAACAATAGTGAGATATTAGTTTCTTTTATCTAATAAAAAAACATTGGTCAAGAATTGCTATAAGGCAGCTCTCTTAATGTCCCTCCCTGCCATGGAGTCAGAGAGGGGCAGTGGAAGTGTCAGACAATGATAGTTTAATTATGGGTGAGCAGTGATTATTGTATTGTTTTGTACCTCACGTGACTTCTATAAATATTTTTGTATCTATTCAATATTTTATTTGAAGCAATTAAAAATACCCATTGCCTTATGATTCAGCCCCTCATGGCAATCTTGCAGTAGGTTGGGTATGTAAGGGTCTGAATTCACATTCACTGCAGCAATATGGTAGCAAGAAAATGACAACATGCTTAAGTGTCCATTAATAGGGAAATGCTTAAATGTTTCTACATGCCATATAGAATACTGTGCAGCAGTAAAAAGAATGAGGTCATGTCTAAAATATGTTGAAAAGTGAAAAAAATAAGTGACACTATCCTTGTTTTACTTAATAAAAAGGCATTTACATGGATATATGCATGTCAGTGTCATCAGCGAAAAAAGTTTGCTTGTCATTAACGGGAGAGTACGGCTGGTCTCGGATGGGGACATATTGACTTCTTTGTATAACTGACCAGTGGTAGGATTATATGTCCTTTTCTTTCTCTGTCTGTTTTTTATATTTGTTCTTAACACATGTAATAATCTTTGTACAAAAGATACATCTTCACCGTAAGAAAAATTGAAGTAATACAGAAAAGCACAAAAGAGACAACTTTGATAATGAAGAAATATTGAACCTTTACTCCTACCAAGCAAGAACACTACAAATATTAAATCAGTTTTTCCTCCACCATGTAAATGTTGGGTATATATTCTTAATGCTTTTGTAATCCATGGGTGGAAACCAAAGCGCAGAGATATGCCTGGCCCACCGTTGTCACACAGGCAGCAAGTGGTAGTGCTAGGAGTAAGCCCAGGAGACCTGGTGCCTCTATTCAAGACCTGTCCTATATGACTGGGGAGAAGAATCCAGGGTAAGCCTGTCAGGAAGAGTTGGTTATTTTAGAAAAAGTGGTCTTGTACAGCCCCTCTAAAAAAGAAACATTTGAAAACATGAATAAAATGAGAAACCCACAGGCCATTTAGGGGAAGAACTAAAGAAGTTCTAGCAATCTAAAAATGTGGGATAAATGAGAATACATCTGCCTTTCTATAACTCTTGCCCTCCACTCCAGTAGAATGTTGGCATTTTCCCATCTTAGTAAACATGGGTTAATTCCATCTTTTATGGTTGCATTATATTCAAGTATGTTTTACTTGGTCTATTATTGAATGAAATTGTGGTTGTTTCTAATTTTTTAGTAGAATGAACAAATGACCAATGACTATCCTAATTCATGGAGCCGTTTTCCCCTTGTAGAATGATTTTCTTAGTGGGATTGCTAGATGTGGACATTTAACATTTAGATGCATATTGTTAAACTCTTGCTCTGAAAAGTTGCATCTAGTTATCTACCACTACTACTGTAATATGCTGAAACTCTTGCCATAGTTCTAGAAGTCTTTTTATGAAAAACAGAAACACCAGCCCTGCAGGTCCTCAGAGGGAACCATTTGCAACATTTTTACCTGATTCTTATAGCATTTGCCTCACTTCAAATTCCAGTTTTAATTATTTATTGCCTGCCGTCAGTGGTTAAGGATTTGGCCTTTTTACTATTCTTTATACCCACAACACACATCTTTATTTTTATCCCCACCCCCACCTCCCCAAACAGTTAATTTTAGTTATAACTATTTTCAGGGCTTACATTATTAAGCAGAATAAGGCTGAGATGTGGTAGTATACCAGGATTCCATTTCCTTTTCTGTACTCTTGTTTCCCAGGGAGTTAATATTTATCTTACTGGTTTCTTTGTTTCTTGTATATTTCATCTTTAAACTATCCTCTAGTTGTATAAATATCCACCACCCATTGTATCAAAACATATTCAGTAGACCATTATTTTAATTTCTTGAGCAGTTCTCTCTCTGAGTCTCCGACATGTTCTGACATGACTCAGTCAGCTGGTGGCACAGCCTCACCTCATCCTGGGATTCTTCTTGCCTCTCTCTTAGGTTTTTAGATCTCATAATTTCCTTGTTGGGTGGAATGCCTCCTCTGGTAGCATTTTGTGAAAGAAAGATGGCAGTAAATGTTTTGAAATTGCAGGTGTTTGAAAAATGGCTTTATTCTACTTTTATAATGAATCGACAATTGTATGGGTATAGGACTACAAGCCTAAAATTATTTTCTCCATGGTTTAAAAGCATGATCCATTGCCTCCATTTCCACTGGTAATGGTAAGAAGTCTAGTGTTATTCTAACCTGTGGTTCTTTTTTTTAAAAATTATTTTATTAAGATATTATTGATATACACTCATATGAAGGTTTCACATGAAAAAACAATGTGGTCACTACATTTACCTATATTATCAAGTCCCCACCCATACCGCAATGCACTGTCCATCAGTGTAGTAAGATGCCACATATTCACTATTTGCCGTCTCTGTACTACACTGTTTTCCCTGTGATCCCCCACACCATGTGTACTAAACATAATACCCCTCAGTCCCCTACTCCCTCCCTCCCTACAGGCCCTCCCACACCCCGCCTTTTTGGTAACCACTAGTTCCTGCTTGGAATCTCTGAGTCTTCTGCTATTTTGTTCTTGTGGTTTTGCCTCATTGTTATACTCCACAAATGAGGAAAATCATTTGGCACTTGTCTTTCTCTGCCTGGCTTATTTCACTGAGCATAATGTCCTCCAGCTCCATCCATGTCAGATTTGTTTCTTTCTTATGCCTGAATAGTATTCTGTTGTGTACATGTACCACATCTTCTTAATCCATTCATCTACTGATGGACACTTAGGTTGCTTCCATATCTTGGCTATTATAAAAAGTGCTGCGATAAACATAGGGGTGCATCTGTCTTTTTGAATCTGAGAGGTTGTATTCCTTGTGTAAATTCCTAGGAGTGGGATTTCCGGGTCAAATGGTATTTCTATTTTTAGTTTTTTGAGGAACCTCCATATTGCTTTACACAATGGTTGAACCACCAGCAGTGTAGGAGGGTTCCCCTTTTTCCGCATCCTTGCCAGCATTTGTTGTTTTTAGTCTTTTCGATGCTGGCCATCCTTACTAGTGTGAGGTGATATCTCATTGTGGTTTTAATTTGCATTTCCTTGATGATTAGTGATGGGAAGCATCTTTTCATGTGTCTGTTGGCCATCTGAATTTCTTCTTTGGAGAACTGTCTCTTCATTTCCTCTGCCCATTTGTTAATCGGGTGTTGAGGCATGTAAGTTCTTTATATATTTTGGATGGTAACCCCTGTTGGATATGTCATTTACAAATATATTCTCCCATACTGTAGAATGACTTTTTGTTCTGTTGATGGTGTCCTTTACCGTACAGAAATCTTTATAGTTTGATGTAGTGCCATGAGTTCATTTTTGCTTTTGTTTCCCTTACTCAAGGAGATGCATTCAGGAAGAAGTTGCTCGCTCATGCTTATATTCAGGAGATTTTTGCCTATGTTGTCTTCTAATCTTCTAAGAGTTTTATCGTTTCATGACTTACATTCAGGTCTTTGATGCATTTCGAGTTTACTTTTCTGTATGGGGTTAAACAGTAATCCATTTTCATTCTCTTACATGTAGCTGTCCAGTTTTGCCAACACCAGCTGTTGAAGAGGCTGTCATTTCCCACATTGTATGTCCATGGCTCCTTTATCATATATTAATTAACCATATATGGTTTGGTTTATAACACGGCCCTCTAGTCTGTTCCATTGGTCTATGGGTCTGTTCTTGTGCCAATACCAAATTGTCTTGAGTACTGTGGCTTTGTACTAGAACTTGAAGTTAGGGAGCATAATCCCCCCAGCTTTATTCCTCCTTCTTGGGATTGCTTTGGCTATTCGTGGTCTTCTGTGGTTCCATATGAATTTTAGAATGATTTTCTCTAGTTCATTGAAGAATGCTGTTAGTATTTTGGTACGGATTGCATTGAATCTGTAGATTGCTTTAGGCAGGATGGCCATTTTGACAATATTAATTCTTCCTATCCATGAGCATGGGATGTGTTTCCATTTATTGGTATCTTCTTAAATTTCTCTCATGAATGTCTTGCAGTTTTCAGGGTATAAGTCTTTCACTTCCTTGGTTAGTTTATTTCCTAGGTATTTTATTCTTTTTGATGCAACTGTGAATGGAATTGTTTTCCTGATTTCATTGTTAGTGTATAGGAAAGCTACTTTTAGCAACTTTGCTAAATTCTGATATTAGCTCTAGTAGTTTTGGAGTGGAGTCTTTAGGGTTTTTTATGTACAATATCATGTCATCTGCAAATAGTGACAGTTTGACTACTTCTTT